ACTGAATTCCCGTCACCCTCAGGCTAAAACCAGCACGGAAACTCTCTTGTTTTGGCATAATCCCCTCTGCAAGGAATGCCTGCAGAAAACAGGGGTCCCAGAAATAATATTGCAGGATGGGGAGCAGTGATGAGACAGGGCAGTAATCTCCACCTAGGCCTCTCAACTCCGTTTTGTGTGACTTACAGCCAGTTGTGGTGGGTATCTGTGGGGATGCAGAGCAGTTCAACAGCTGCCTGTTTCTCCACCGAAGCAGCCCTTTGGAAGTTGGTGTTCCCCAGTAACAGAAACACTGCGTGGCATTGGCAGTGACAGGACATCACAGTGCCATTTCACTGAAAAGGCTGCACGGGGTGTTGCATGGCTAATATTTGTCTGAGTTTCGAGGCTGAAGTTAGAGAAGTGGCTTTGCAATCTGCACGTGAGGTACTGCTCGATATCACGACAACTTGTTATGTTATGAAAACATAACAAACAGGGCAGAATGAACACACTTCGAATAATGGCTTATTTTAAGTATTTTCCCTAACACTGCCACTTCTTTTTTTCCCCCTTTTGTTTTTGTTGGATCACACTTAATATGATTGCACGACACCGATGCTGTGGATGGAATCGAAAGCTGGATTCTTCTAAATGTGTTCCCAACATTCCATTTATTTACAGAGCTGCCAGGGGCTATTCTGCATTCCCACAACGGCTACAAATGTAACTTATTGTTTTGCAATAAAAATTAGCCATAAAAGTGTGAAAAATGCCAGAGAGCCAAATGTGAGAAACAAGAGAAGGGGGTACGGCTTTCGCACCCTTTTAGTGGACATTTTATTTATTTTTCAAATGGAGTAGACATATTTATAGCTACTGTATTTCAATTATCTCTAATTTCACACATTTTATGCAGATTCTAGACATTTTAATTGCAAATGAGAAGGGAACTTATTTTTAAAAGTGGAGCAACACAACATTTCAGATCTCAATTTTAATTCCAAATTTATCCACATCACTGTTAAAAACTTTTAAAATCTCATTTACGCCGCGACTTAAAACAAAACCAAAAGACCTCCACGCCGAGGAGTGACAGCACCAAAACCTTCTTCACACATTCTTAAATCTTTTTCTTTTCAAATTAAAATTTTTAGGTAGGAAAGTTTAGGAAGTTGAAATGACATTATTAATCGGTGACACGTTACTTCAACAAGAGTCGGTACTTTAATAGTATTGTCCATAACTGATGAAAATTAATACATTACCCACCCTATTTTCCCTTTCTGTCTCCCTGACTCCAATAACACAGGGCATGGGTTATTAGCTCAATCCCTGCTTAGCCATCACTCAATGGGAAAGTCTTTCAAGAGGATAAACCACAACTCAGCCTTTGGCTGGATAAAAATTCCCACTACACATTAAAAGCATTAGTGACAAATGCCACTCTTTTCCAGGCAATATTCCCCGTAGTTTACTCCCACTGAACATTAATAAGCATATGGCCTTCCATGCTAAGTAAGATGTTTGTGACAAATTCAAAAGCGGTGGAACCGGTGCTGGTTTTAAGCAGAGATAATTTTCCAAAGGATCCAAGGGCTCCAAATCAAAGGAAGGGTCTGGGGATCTGATCTGTGATGCTGGGTTTGAGCAGACCACCTACCCCTGGCATGTGAGACACCTGGTACCTCTGCAGACCCCTGCACGACAGAACCTCACTCATAAACTCACACCCAAGGCAACGAAAAAGACCTGGTTTTCAAAACTGCCTCGAATTTTGGCATCCCAAATCCATCACCTAGAAACACTGTTCCCAAACCATAAAATACAGGCTGAACACGATCTCTGTTTAAGCAGCAGTACTGGCTTTGCACAGTGACCCCGCTCCTGCCTTTCACCACACGCTCACGTCGATGTGCCCACACCCAACTACAGGTTTACAAACCACACGTGTGCCTACAGAGCCCTCTAAGCTGAGATCCCACTGCTTGACTCCTCACTACCCAATGAAAAAGATCTTTAAAAGTTCCAACTGCTTGCTGAAATGCACGAAATAATTTTATTATAAATGGAAATTTACTGTCTGGGGCGTGTGGAGTTTTTCTCTGCTTCCTTTCTATTTGGTAATTTATTTAAATGCATTCAAAAATGCATTCAGAAAACGAGACATAGCACTTTGGTTAAGACATCTGTATTTCAAACCAACATCTTCAGAACTGTGAGAAGCTCTGTTAATAGTCTTTTTATTTGATTAGGGTAATCTGCTGCTGTGCTGTCTTAATCTTTATCCACTACCTTTTAACCAATCAATATTTTAGGGTTATAGATTTGGAAGGTAGACGATAATTTTGTAGATAAACTCTCTAGGCACTGTTGACATGGTATGGATGCACATTTAATATCTTTTCAGAGGATTCAAAACTCCAGCAATGCAAGAATCAGCCCAGGAAAAAAAAAAAAAAAGGAAAGTTAAACCTTAAATTTTCAAAGCTGTGTGCAGGGATTTGGCCACCTGCCTCCTATTAATGTCAATGAAAATTTAGAGGTAAGAAAAGCAATGTCTTTTCCCTCAGATCATTTCTCCTTTGAAAGGAACCAGAGAACAAGAGAGAGGAAATTAAAAGCAACTTCGTACCTCAGGCCAACACCAGCAAGGCCTGTTGGTGAGACAGGAACTGAACAGAGGTAAAACATTTGTTCACTAAATGAGTGAGCATCTCCACACATATCAAAATAGCCAGGCAGGAGAAGTTCAGAAAGGAAAAAAATTAGACTTTGTGGTTTAAAATGGCATTAAAATATATCTTTTTTAATTTTGCTCAGCTAAAATTATCTGTTGCTTATGATATTAATTTTGCTGCAGATAAAATTAGTTGTCAGACCTCTGTTTATGGCCTAATTACCTTTTCTAAGGAAAAAAAAAAAAAGAGACAGGAGAAATAAAAGGAAGAACAATAAAATGCAGTAATCTATTTTCCAGCAAGAGGGATTCTTGGTGATGTGTCACCTGCATGGGCTTTACTAGTGCTGGGCATTGTGTTCCCTACACGTGAGACATGATTTACTTGGGCTGCTTTGCCAATCTGGGCAGTGCCAACTTCTGCTTGCCCTCAATCCCATGCCTGGGGACAGGCAGGACAGGCCAGATCACCCTCAATTATTTCTAGAACGCTGGGAATCTTGTGATGATTTGAGCTCCTTATAATGAGGGAGCAAGTTAGGAAACCTGGGGCAACATCTTGGAAAAAAAAAAAGAAAGGCGCTGTAAGTAACTAATTTCTTCTGGAAGTGTTTGTCCACTTTGCTTCCAGTCTTGGAAACAGTAAATAGATGTTTTATTGGTTAGAAGTGGGTGCCAGGCATGGCACTGCAAAGCTGCAAGAGCTGTAAAGCAATGGACAGAGCCTTGTGTCACAGAGGTCAGAAACCACCACGTTTTGGTTTCATCTCTGAGCACACTGACCGATTCCTCAGCAAGGAACAAGTGTGAGAAAAGCTGAATATTTCTTAACAGCTCTTCTCATTATACCAAGCCAAAAATTTAAATTAATTTTGCAGCATTCGTGTCAATGGAGTTGCAGCCACGATGGCACCTGAATTCCAGCCCTACCTGGCACGGCTTGGAAGCAGCACAGACAGAGGGTGGGGGAAGAAGTTGTCCTTTGGAGTGTTCTGAGCAGCACTGCCACGAGATCTGCCCAGCTGCATTTTGGAATATATTTGACAAACAAAAAATTCATATCTGTGTTCATTTCACAAGATATAAACGTCTCTTTCGTGGTAGGAAAACTCCTGCTCCCTGGAAGTGATTCTAATCTAATCTGACACGCGGTATTTGTAACCGTACTTTAGTGTCCCAACCTATTTACAGTGTTTACATAAAACCCACCGAAATCTCCACATTCCTTGAAAAGTTAATCCAGTACAAATATTGACTGGCTGTCAATTGAGCATTATTGACTTGCTCTGGGACTGTGCTTTATTGCCTTAACTGATGAAACTTGTTTTCTTTGCTAAACTTAATTTCTTTTGGGCCCTGCTTGGATGAAATGCCGTTTGCTAGACTGCTCCTCTTCCCCCCACTGCCATGGGGCTGCCTCTCCCACCGAGCTGCAGGGGTGGGACAGCCCAAGAACTTTGCAGGAGGAAGCCAACAAAGCCAGTCTGTAGTTTACCTGACACCAGTCCCATCTCCTATAAATACTTGGTCCACACCAGCTCCAGCACTGCCATTGCAGCCACATTTGGTTGGACAGAGCGGTGTCTCCAGCAAGGCTGGAAGGGTCTGTGAACCTTTCAACAGGGGCTGTGGGAGGCAACTGGGAAAAGCAAACTGATTACCAAGGGCTTAAATTCCCTCTGTGTCAGTCTGCACCTGCACTGGGAGGTGGTGGTGGTGCTTTGGGTTTTTTTAAGGAATTCTAAAATTCTAAAAGCTAAAACCCTTGGATGTCTTTGCACCACTCCACCAGGAACAGTGCAAATCAGCTTGTCCAGAAGCCAAAGTTCATGACACACCCATGCTCATCATGTTTTGAACACCCAAGAAAACACCGTTTATCATTTCAGTTTTTTAAAATCTGTAGTCTCTAGGTACAGCAAAACAGAAACCAAAAATAGCAACTTTCACAACATTCCCTGATTCTGCAACAAATTCCATCAAACGCTCTCAGTTCTGATCCCCAGGTCAAGTGTAGCTGACAATAAATCTCAGGAAGGATTTGATATTGTTAAGCTGCAAAACCCAAAAATCTATTACAAAAGATTTATCAGAACTTACAGAAAGTGAGCCCCAAACGTTTCAGTCAGTGCAAGGAAGGACAAAAGGGTGGAATGGCAGACAGGGAAGGAAGGGCAGATGTTGAATGACCAGAGCAAGTTACAAAGCAGGTATTTCTCTCTGATCTCAAACCGACATTTAGGAAGGAATTTCCCCAAATGTCCAGTTCAGACAGACAGAGGGGGTTTATTTGTGCTTGTGGGGTTTCTTTGTAAAGGAATGTACCAGAGCAGGCACTTACACTTTGCAGGAGCACGATCTGCCTCTCCACACAGGATGCTGTTTGCACCAGGCACAGCTCCAGGGCAGTTTTTGGTGCCATCATCTGCTCCTTCTTCTGTTCTCATCAACTGTCTGGTGAGAGAGGGGCGAAGTCAGGAAAAGCAGGGATATGTCACATTGCTACACCTTCATTTAACATTCTTTATCCCCTTCTATGTCCAGCTCAGGTGATGAGACAGTTCAGTTCCTTTAATCAAACACTCTCAGATCACCCGTTCAGGAACTGAACAAAGTCATGATGGTTTTTCTTTCAGTTTGCCACCCACACAGCAAGTTTATTCCTGCCTAGTTTACTTTTTTATTTTAGCCCATACAAGTCACTTCTACAAGACTTCCTCCCTTCCTTTTAAATGAAAGGCTTCTTCTAAACATTTGACAAATGGAAGAATCTACCATGCAACATCAGCTACACCAAGAATGCACCTGCTCTCTGTGAAAATACTCTGGCTAGTCTGAATAAAATTAAATGTTGACATTTTCATTAGTTTACTTAGTTTTTTGGGGTTAGGTTTGCTTAAAAAAAAAAAAAAGATAAAGAATAACACATCACAAATTTTACTTTTATTTTTTTTTAAATAAAAAAGGAGTTGATTTTTGATAAAATGCCTGCTGGAGAAGACCAATTCGTCTTACAGTGGCTTTGCTCTTCTGCCAGATGTCACTGGAGTTCCCAATTTCCTGTAAAATCTTATTTGGATATGCCCTTAAGATAAAAGCTGGATCCCAGAGGTGTGTCCACACATGGGACACACAGGCAGGGGCAGCACAACAAGCCTGGCTTACCCTGGGTTTAAGGTTAGGCAGAATCATTATCATCCAGGCCCAGAGGTTTACATCTCACACTGAGAGTTCAGGCTTGGTTATACCAGAAAAAGGAAAAACAAATGATAAGAGAGTCAGAAAACCCCTGAAATAAAGGCTACAGGGGACCCCAGATGTACTTGAAGCAACCACAGTCACACCATCAGCACAAGTTGCAAAGAGTGCCAAAACAAGATGAAAACACAGACAGCCCATGTGTTAAAAAGCTTTTTAAAGGCTTTGGCTGTTGCTCAAAGTCCTTCCCTCCCCACATACCTGTACATAATAATAATAATAATAATCATAATAAAAACTAAGCCCTCGAGATCAAATAGTCAGTGGTATCTTAAGAGAAAAAAAAGACGACAGGCTTAGGAAACCAAATCCTTGTAATAAATAATATATTATGAGTTAAGGAGATGAACTGACAAAGTGGTGCACCTCTAATCTCTTCCCTGCAACAGCGAGAAGAGCTGAATCACTCGCACAACATTTTTCTTAAAGCATGTTCAGGGATTGCTCCCACACTCCAGCTTCTCAAAGAATATCATGCTCTACTAATTTACCAGCCTGACTAAGCTACACACCAGCAGCACAGGCAGTCTTAACCTGTTATTTTACATTGTAAGAATAAAACTTCGCAACATTCTCTTACTGGAATATAATTGACTGTTCCAAGGCAGGTTTAAATCAGAGATGAGAGAATCAAGCCACTCAGCTGATGCAAACCCAGCTCTCTTTTAGGGGTTCAGAGGTAAGGCTCTTCCTCACACATCTCTGATGTTCAGCAGAGCTGTCAAGCCCAGCAGCTGTGGCAGCTCTGACATCAATGGGATGTAAATTCTGCCTGTGGCCCCTGCTCACAGCCCCACTGCAGCCCTGCCCTGCAGCAGGGGCCACCTCACTCAGGATTCCCAGTTAGTCATTTACTCCAGACTCAAAATGACACCTCCAACTTAAACAACATTTCTAAATAACAAATTATACAAGGAAAAATAAAACCCAGCACCATGGCAGAGATGCCAGGCACATAAGGAAAATTAACTAGCCCATATTTCTAAGCAATAAATTCAATGTCACCTTTTTATACCTTCAGTCCCTTGTCTAATGTCACTCAACAGATTCCTACCAGTGCTGTGCAGCTATCTCAGGCAAGGCAGGGGTAAAGTCCATGAGAGAGGACCTCCCACCTTCCACCAGTCCCATGTTTCTCTATCAAGGGCACATCCCTTCAGTTCTTCCTCTCTTAGTTTTGCCATCTGGGAAAAAAATGTCTCTGCAACACTCAGGACCTGAAGTGTACCAGCTTTTGTGAAAAAACATACACCTTCCAAGCAATAATTGTTGGAGGAGGGACTGCTTCTGGTGTGGCACATCACACAGGAGTTTGGGTTTAGCCCAAGAAAGCATTTCAACTTAAAAGCAAAAAAGAAAAGGAAGGGGAAAAAAGAAACAACAGTGTTGAGTGTTTAGTTGGCAATAAAGTAATTGATTTCAAATTTCAAATTAATTGTTTTTGACATTAGTTGTTTTATTATTGCAGAGATTTTTTAAATGATGCAATGATCAGAAACAACTGTGCTCACAGCTGTGTCTAAATGGAGTTGTTACTGGTCACCAGCTCAGAGGAACAAACTGGCAGAGCTGGGGCTCATAATCCAAGTCAAACACACACGAGCAGGAGAACTAAGGAAGTGTAAGAACAGTATTAAAGGATTAAGAAAATTCTAGAAAAAGGCTGTGTCAGTGGCAAATACAAGTAATTGGTTTTCAAAGTTTGACTTTTCTTCAGTAGTGTTGGAGACAATCCCGAAGAGAATTTAGAAATGAGAATACATTCTGCAAAATATTTGCTCGTAGCCCGGTACTTTTGTACTAAAATCAACTCACCCACCAAATCATTCTTCTCCTGTGCCACACCCCATGCTTCTGTTTACACTTTCTCATTGCTCCATAATTTTTCCCTGCTAAAGTCTTTGAGTTTCTCACCAGAATGGAAGTGGAGCCAAAACTGCGAGTTGGTTCGGCCTTCCCAGTGCAGAGCAGTGGGAAAAGGAATCATTGCTGCAAACCCACAAAGCTACTGCTGCTGGCAAAGGCAGGAACTGCAGCTGGATTTTAAGATGATTAAAAAAAAAAGGTGGGAGAGGAAAGGGGGGAAGGCACAATTTTTTTCAGCCCAGCTATTTGAGAAATAATTGCTGTAATTTTGTCTCTCCTCAGTCTTCTCACTAGGCAAGCTTACTGAGGAAGGCAGATTTCTAGTTCTTAAAAGTGCTCTAATTCACACTTTTCTAGAAGAAGTTTGATTAGTTTGAAATTTACACTTGACCGTTTCCAAATTCTAGGATAAGACCCAAAAAACTGGAAAAAAAAAAGTCAAAGAAAGAGAAACAGAAAGACAGACAGACAAAAAAAAAAAGGAGATCAAACCATATACTGCTGGGGAGAAGAAAAAAAAAAGACAAAGATTTTCACTTTGTCTGGCACAGTGTTTTCATGTTTTTTAAATTGCTCTGTATTTTCACAGCTTCAGCTGATATTTCTGAAATATGGTATTTGCATTTTCTAGGTGGGGAATGCTGCCAAAGCTGCTAATCCCAGGCAGATGTAAAGTTGCACCACTATATTGTGATGTGGCTCCTTAAAAACAACTTAAAAGGATTAAAAAAAAATAAAAAACCCACAACAAAACAACCACCCAACAACCACCACAAATATTCACTAACCCATATGGTCAATAATTGCTGTTTAATAGTCCTCCTATTACAAACCTAAAAAGCAGCAGCCAGAATTACCAGTAGAGTATTAATAAACAGGAATGAGTTAATAGTGCATAAAGACCTTCTAGTGGAACAGTGGGGGAGTTGAATATTCTTTTCTTAAGTCAGCTGTAAGTAATTACTACATGGTGTGCTTCTGACTATTACCATAACAGAGCAATTGGACGTGAAGAATGGATAATAGTATGGACATGGAGGTATTTTTAGAATATCAGCAGTGAGGCAGGTAAATGCCCTACTCAGGCACAAACCTTTAAATAAGTTTAAATAACTTTTCCTAATGACACCTACCCTGAGCAAATTTCTGAAGAGATCAATCTAATGAATTATTAAAGTAACTTTATAAAGACACGTCTGGTGATATGTAAATAAGGGAAACAGCAAAAAAAAAAGAAAAAAAAAGAATCCCAGGCAGCCATTGTGCAAGCAGCCAGAATTCCAGTCACTGCACAGTCCCAGGTTTCTCCCTGTTCCCTGCAGAGTGGTGCCTTCCTCTGTCTGAGCGTGGACTGTGCTCCGCTCGCTTCCATGGGCTGCTGGGGTGAAAACCCCAGTAGTTAAATAATGGGAATTGGGATTGCAGGAGTTGTGGGGTTTGGACAAGGGAGGAGTCAGTTGTCCTCAGTTGTCCCCAGCGATCTGACGCTGCACCTCATTTATTTTATCATATTGCTGTAGGAGCGTTCGGTGAGATGCAGTTCCACGTTGGAAGCACTGTCCACCCCGGTATCCAGCACTTTCCATGGGCAAGTGCAGGCTGAGATTTTGTCTATCAACACAACATATGCTGTCATATAAAAACTGCTTGAGCCTTGATTCAGAGAGTAGTAATTTTACAAATGCGCCAAAGCCTAATTTAAGGAGTATTTTGAATTTTTCAGGCTACAGGTCCTTCTCCTGCTATGTTGCTACACAGGGCAGATGTTGATTTTTCAATTTGCAGGTTTGTTAAGCATCATGGAATGTTTTGGTTCTCAATCAAGAATATTCTTCCCAAGTGGTTGCAAAGCCCTGTGCCTGAAAACAAATGCATGTCCTTTCTGTTTCTCGGCAGCACGTGTTCTGCATTGAGCAGGAGCATAAAACAGATAACGTGGGGCTGGTTATCGGACCAATATACACATTTTAAGTCTCAGGCTCTCGGAATGCAATGCATTTGCAGGTTATGTTCTACAAACACAGTTTATATAAGGCAGTTTCATTTACAGTGTGTCAGACCTACAGTTCTCTTCAGAAAATTATGCACTGGGATGTCCTCAGTATTGTGTCCATCCACTGATGTGCCCCTATATTGGTCAGCTCCCAACAACCTTGTCAAAGCAACAGCCCCTGCACTGATAATTTTAGTGATGAACAGTATGTGCACATACAAAGAATTTTAGGAAGAGGGAATGTTTCCCATTTGCATGCACACCAACAGACAGGATAAAATGATTTTGGCTGCCCTAAAGACAAGAGAGATTGAGCTGCTGAGTTCCCCCCCAGTAT